ACTTTCCATATTTCATGAGTGCAACGTCAACAAATTCACTCATGATCAAGTTACAACCTAAGATCTATGATCATATTATGTTAACCCGTGACATTTAGATCCAACGACGGGGTGGTTGATTGTTAGGCCACCACTGAATCCTCACATAGACCATTTCAAAGGCAATAATCATAACAGATTGAGCAATCCGAGGAGCATGTGGTAGTATAATAATATTACATAGAACAATGTTATTTGGATTTAATTTATTATTTAATTATTTTATACCATTAAAACTCTATTATTAGTTAAGACCTACTATCAATTCAATGACTATGATACGTCATGTCAATATATCAGGCTTAAATAGCATTTTTCCTATTACTTATCGTTGTTGATCATACAATGGGCTCTATTTTGCGAAATAAAAGCTCACTTGGCAGAAATTGGACTTGGGGCATGAGTAGTGCAATTTAGACAGAAATTTGACCTAATGATATAGTTTTGTGTAATAGTTGAATTAACATCAAATTTTAATGGTTTATGAAGTCCAGAGTCAATTCAAGAATTATAATGAATTAAATCAATAAATAAGTTGCAAGGAGATATATAACTTCAGCCAGCAAGGGCATGTACCAAAGACCATCCCGTTAACAACATCCTTGCATACAGGAAAGAGAAAGCACAAACTATATAGTTACAGCAAGGGCATGTAACTATCATGTTACATCATTTAATAACCACCCATGTGTGGAATTTATTATTGATTGGTGACATAACTATCTTGTTATGTCATTTAATAACCACAAATTTTGTAAATTTATTATTGAATGGTGACACCATATGTCAATATTGATATGGTGTCACCGTTACACCCCAAAACTACAGGAAAGCGCTCTATCTATCTCTCTTCAAATTTAGATTGGATTTCATTGCATTCGAATAGGAATTCCAATTAGAAACGTGAAATATATATTTACAGATTTTATTTTAATTGTTCATACTTAAATTTATTGAAAGTCAAAAGCTTAAATTCACTTTATCTAATAATCGCTAGATTTCATCAACCTTATAAATAACTTAAATCACAGATAATCGAATCAAATATTCAGATCTAAAAGACGGAGGTATATAATAAATTCGGTTTCAAATTAAGATGATTGATGAAAACAAAAATTCCAATCGATATTGGTCAATTGGCTCCCCTTTTCTATCTATATAGTTACCAAATATTCTCCATGTATAGTAAACGAACATCATCAAATCTCAAGTACGAATTACCATCAGGGTTTAACCCTAAATTAGAAGTGTCATGGTCATGTGAACTTCAACCATTCATTCGATTCTCCCCACAAAAAGAAAAAAAAAAAGTAAGAAGGCACAACAGTTATCTCATCACGTGTCTATGTTTCTATGTGTATAAGATCAAATATTCGTTCTTCATATTCGTAGTACTTCAAAGAATCAAAAGGAAGAAGAGTTCTAATATTTTTTTTGTTTTTTAATATATCTGTCTTCATTGCATGGTAATTGGTATCTTCCATGATTCTTGTAAGTGAAGAAAGGAACAATCCATTAGAGTCAACAGTTAATTTGGTGAGAGGCGGCCATATCCGAATAAGCTCAAGTGGGGAGAGAGAGATGACCTTATCCATTTGCCTTGTGGGACTTTACCATGTGGGATGGGCCACTGTCTCTCTCTCTCTCTCTCTCTCTCTCTCTCTCTGTGTCTCTGTCTCATGAAGTTGAGGTCAGAGATACCCAGATAGGTTAAAAAATGATTATACAGAGGGAAGAAGGGACTTTAATATCCATTTGGGATACATGTTGGTCAAGGGGAGATGCTACTTGGTCCACTTGGCAGCAAGTGAGGACCCATGTGTGATGGAGGGCGGGAGAGCGAAAGAGAGAGAGTGGTCATGGGAGCTTTGAATGACTGCACATGGAGATGGGTGATGGATGAGTGCCGTCTTTTTTTGGGCCTATAAATAGCAGTGACCGTTGCATTTTCTTCACATACTTCGGACTTCACGTGACCTCTCTGTTTTCTTCGTCTTCTTCAGCTCTGCTTCTGTCATTAATTAACCTCTCTCTCTCTTTCCCTCTCTGCAAATCTTATCCATTTCTGTGGTGGTTCTGTTTTTGGGTTTTGTGTTGGTGGTCGTTGGCAGTTAGGGACATCTATTAATCGAGGTAGTTTTGTTCGTTGGTTGACGAAGAAAGCAAAGGTGACAGAAAATATGGAAAACAGAAAGCAAGTGGGTGGTTCTTCTTCGTCCTTTACTGTGGATCTCTTTGGTCCCAAGGACACCTCTTCATCATCGTCCTCGTCCACTGGACTCTTTGGCTCTGTTTTTGGGCCACCCTCCACGGTATTTGCTTTTATTTATTTTTTTCAGTTTCGAGACATTTTTATAAGCCCCTGTTGGTGGATTTTTTCTTCTTTGTTTTTTGGGGGAGGGGGGTTGGAGGAGGGGTGGTGTTGTTAATCAAGGAGTTTACTGTCACCCTAATTGTTCTTTTTCTAATCAGCTTTACTGAGGAATACAACATAATTATTGTGGAAGAAGTTCTGAAATGTCGTAATTCAATTTTATTTTTTTCTCTTCTCTGATTTTAGGGGCTTGGGAGGGACTCCTCTCACTGTGTAAGTACAGGATCATCGAAAAAGCCGGATTTGGGAGGTCAATATGGCAATGCCAAACATGGAACTACAGGTTCTTCAACACAAAGAAACAAGGGCGAAAGTGCAGAACCATGCTATTTCAGCTCATCAATCTACTATGGAGGCCAAGAAGTTTATTCTCCTAATAGTCAGACCACTGGTTCTCAGCAAGTTGTAAGTATAATCGGGTCCATTTCATCCAGTAATCGTGTTCAATGATGCTACCTAGTATGAGATATTGGGGTAATAATACACAGTACCACTGATCATGTTGTGTTTTCTGACTTGATCAGTTCAAGAAAGACGATGAACATGATGACCCGAATGGAAACAATGGAAATGGTGCTTCAAGAGGAAATTGGTGGAAGGGTATGATTGTTGTGGAGTTATTGATAAAAGGACACCTGTGACCAACAAAAAATGATAAAAGGACACTTTAGGCTGTGCTGTTATATGGCAGTACAAATAACTCAAACCATTTGTTTTCTGTTTATGCAGGATCCCTATACTACTAAAATCCTACCCATCCGATGCAAACTCTCCATCCATTAACAAAGGTATTCCATCGACAAGTCATTACAGTGATTGATTTAAGGTTTAATTTTCTTTTTATCAATATAAGAAACCCCCTATTATAGACGCAACCTTCCTGGGAATTGGCCTTTTTAAGTTTCCCATGGCTCCTCTAGGTTTCTTGTCATCTTGTAATTTGTGTTTTCTCCAAACTCCTAATTGTGTCCTTTTTCTTGAGCAGCATGGCTTCCTGTGAACACTACTGAAGTTTGAGATAGCATAGAGTGAATCCTAGAAGTAACCAGGACTTGCAGCACTCTGTTTTCTTCTTTTCTCCTCTGTTTTTTCTTTCTAAAATTTGGGGTCTTTGCCAATCAATCTGGGCAACGTTTGTGTATGAGCTTGTCTTTGTTTCATGAGAGCCCTGATGCTAGTACTTGTAAACAAAGCTGTAATTATGTGCATCTGAGCTGTTTTTTGTTATAATTGGACTTCAATCACATAATTGTTTTATGCATGTGAGAAGGGGAATACACGTGCCCAGAAAAGAAAAGGCAAAAAGAAAAATCCACAAAAACCACAATTATCGTCACCGCAGTGTAAACAGAACCAACCAGTAATTTATTTATCAGTCAGATGTTTGGAAACGACAGTAAACTACTAGCTAGAAGAACTAGCTAGCATACTCTGACTCTGGTAAACTGGTGTTTACGAAAGTGAATCACAACATTCTCAAGGACAAGACTAGGAAATCTTTATTCTTCAAGGCAATGTATAAGCTGTAAAACAGAAAGAAGAGTACAGGGGTCACAGAAGAAGAACAGAGAGAACTAAATATGTAATGAAATTCCGAGAATAGGAGGGAAAAGGGTGATCAAGAGAAAACGAAGCAATATACTGATGGGAACGCAATAACTGACCTCCACACTTGTAACCCACAGGGCGATCGGCAATGTTGCAACGTTTGGGAATAGTGATGGCAACTTCTGGCTTTACTCCAGAACTTTTAGCGGTATTAGAAAGCAAAACTGCACACAGGCAGCTTGGTTTCTGTCCCATTTTTTTCACCTGAACGCAGCAACTGTTGGGCACCGCAGCATTCTCATCTTGCGCTGCAGATGCACAAGGAGCCAGCTTCAGAGCTTCCATATCTGGAGAAGACTTTCCACATTCACCAGCTCCATCTACCCCACTGAACCCTGCAATGCTAAGAACCACAAGAAAACAGAGCATGCAAATGTACCTCATTGCTGCTTCCATCTCTTCACTGCAATGCTTGAGAACTTGGAACACCATGGACTTTATACTGAACAAGTAGATCAGCAAGTGCTAACCCGTGAAATCCGCGAAGTCATAAGTGGAGGAAGCACTTGGCCCAACTTGCTTCTTATATTGCAGCACTTACTCCATAAAAAAGTAAGTGGAGGCTTATCTGGCTAGTTTAAGCCAGTGAAGATTAGTGCATCTAACTTCTGAAATCATCACCACCATTAACATGATCTTTTCTATCCTCGGTAATGCAAAGTAAGGGTATTTTATTGGCAGCTGTGATCATAGCAGTGGACAATCTAGGAGTGACCAATCTCTACTTATTACAAAGCTAACTCATTTTTTTTCTCTCCGGAGCACTCATCTCACCAACCCAAACAAGTGACTTGTCAGTAAACCCAGTTTTAAATTCTCTCCTTCTCAAAGCAAGTAAAGACAGCCAGCCTTCTCACCATTACCAACTTAGGCAGAAAGCTGTTCAAAAACCAAGATCCTGGGAAAGAGCCCAAATGATAGTATCTCGTAATGCCAGACAAAATCTAACGATGCACCTGTTGATCATGTACTATATCCCTGCCTAGAAATGAAGCAGAGTTTTGTTATATACTACTTGAACTCAACCTGCTCGTCACCCTTGACGAATAAGGCTATGAGCATTAGGATCACAACATAGAGGCTTTGACCATATCAGTATCCTACAATCTTGCAAACCTAATTCTATAATGCAGATAAAGTCGATAATCAAGCCTATCACTTCTCTGTTTTCCAACACTGAATGGATGTGTCAATGTCACTCTTTCTGGATTTGTTTTTCCTTTCTATTATGCCCATTGAGACAAAATTTAGCAACTATTTTCCATATGTAGCTACTGTTTTAACTCTCAAAACCTCAAATTTGGGCTAGTACTTGTAGAATTATTGCTTCTACAAATGTTCAAGCATTTACACCATACATCCCATTCACACTTTCTCCCACTCATCTTGATGAGACACAATGTGTGTGTGTGTGCACGCACCTATGTGCATGCACATAAAACCACTTGTAAAGGGTTTGAAACAATGTACGCAAGGAGGTGTGGCTAAAAAATCAGCATATTATAACTGCTTTGACACATTTTAACTCCTTTGATTTGGGAGGATAAGGGTGGGATAGGCCAGCAAAATATTGCTGAATGTACTTGTATTTATCCACATGTTAGCAACCAAAAGTACTTTGAAACGACAATATCAAGGGTGAATATCCGTTCACTTTTTTTTCACAATTTCATTTCAAGAAGTAAAAACAAAGACAGTTTAAATGTTTCTGGCATCAAGAAGCTCATGAATCATGTCAACGTCACAATGTAATGTATTTTTAAGTATCCTAGTTCATTGCCACATTAAGTACTAGAATTTCAATCCTAGATCATATAACATCAGCAGATTGAAGTACCACGCTCTTTTAAATTTAACATCTTAAAGCCTTGTATAATAAATTGAATAACCCAGAAAAAAACAATGCTACCCAAACAAATGTCTGCACAAAATGTATTCCACTCATTGAACTTCTGATTCACAACTACTTATCTCATAACAGTCCCACTATCATTAACATAGCATTGTTGAGAACATTAAACTAAATTCTATCAGCCAAGGAAATATCTCAATAGCAAAAATAAGGATGTACAACAAACAAGGGGATGTTATTGGCACCCCCTTTTTGCCTCCCCGCGTTGCACCATAAATTGTAAAAGCATATGTGATAGAACTACCCTTCCATCCTGTTTTGAGATCTCTGTCCTTTATACAAGAAATTGATGTTTCTTCTTTACATTAATTAGGAACATATGTGATAGAATAACTGGCCCCACTATTGAACCTTAAGGTTACGGGCTCGTCGTCCCCCTCCCCAACCAAAAAAAACAAAAAAGAATAGTATTCCCATAAACAATTATAGTCTAATAAATCTGTAATAATATTAATCTCAATTTCCCATGACTCAATGGCATTCAGTTGTTCATGGGTTATCAATTAAGACGACTAAAACATAAATCTCAAAATTCAGCTCATATAAACAAAACCTCTTATTTCATCAGTGTACTATCTCAAAATCACACAATAACACGTACAAATGAAACCCTAATCCAAGTTCCTAAATTTCTGAAGCTCACAACCACCACTTAACGAGTAAAAGCATAAAAAACAACACAAACATATATAACCAACGCAATTGGCACCAAAATCACAAGAGGAACAATAGCACCATAGCTATGTGGACTGCCACAAGCCAACGTCCCAAGCTTGATCTGCACCACATTCACCAATGCCAGCATCAAGAACACACACCCACTAACGGAACCAGCCGCAGAAATCAAGTACCCGACCCGAAGCACGTTCTTGTTGACATGAGCAAGGTCGAGCGAGAAGACATGGCGGTAATGGTCCAATTTGGCGAGTCTAATGGCCTGTTTGAGAGCCAAAGCAACGAGGCTGGAAAAGAGGAAGGAGCTGAAAGAGTAGACGTGAAAGGCGACAAGGTCCTCGGCAACTTTCGACCCGGCAACGCAATTCGGGTCGGTGTTAAGGTCGACGAGGCTGTTGTTATGGTCTGCTGGGTTCCAAGCTAGGCCGATGAAGACTGCTAACGTGAACAGTGAGTTCACGTTTATGACTCCGTCGAGGGCTGTTACGTGGATGCTTGTCCCGAACTTGGGAAGAGTTCCGTCGTCCATTTTCCGGCCGGTGGAGGAGTGGATCTGAAGGTGGAGAGTTGTGGGCGGGGTTTAAGTCAGAGGATCGGATTCGTTGGTTGCGTGATGAGAGTGAAAGTGTGCGTTGATTTTGGGAGTCACTGGTGGGGACAAATGGGACGCTTTTCTCGGTGGAGGACGGTGGTAGAAATGAGGAAGCTTCCAGGTCAAGGTTATGTCCGAACGGACTAGAAGACAAATGGGTTTGCTCATATGGTTACTAACAAGCCCAAATAACGAATGGGCTAGGGCGGAGAGTTCGGGGCTATGTCACACAATTCACCTAAAGCCACTGGCGCTCTAGAACTTCGAGCGCAAATTCACGCTTTCATAGCGAAAACACCACAAATTCGTGAACTCATTTATATGATTTGCCGAACTCACTAAATTGAATTCGCCGGTTTCAACAAATCCCAAGCCAAAAGACTTTGAATGCTGCATCAGCTGTACTCAACCTCACGTGAGAACCATTACAGGTGAGGCTTAAAATCAAACCTGGGGTGAGTAAGCCTCTTTGGTTTGTATCTTAGAAATTAATTTTTGATTAATTATTTTTTTTCTGTTCTCAAAAATTTAAAAATAAGAGAGATGTTGTTTGTTTAACTTTTTTATTCTCTAATTTTTAAAAATTTTGAAAATTGAGCTGTCATTTTAAAAAACAAGAAAATAATATTCTTATAAGGCAAAATAAAAACACAAAAAACAGGAAACATCTTCAAATTAACTCCACTTCGAATTTGTTGGATACAGATGATGGTCACTGTGCGGGCTTGATCCTGCACGATATATATAAAATATTGGGAACAGATCTCTCCCCTGGTGAACTTTGGGTGAGCCGATTGAGTGGCCAAGCACACTGCTCGAAACAGCTTACGATCCTGGGAAAGGAGGAACGATCCTGTACGTGCGAAAGGTATTTCCTGGGACAAAAGAGAACAAGTTAGAAGGGCGCCGGAGTGTTTTCCGGCGTATCCCCTCCGACGGTCTAGTCAGTCTTTGAATGAGAGAGAGGAAGGAGAAAACACTGAGAAGGATATTTCGTAGTAGAGAGTTTTTGATTGCATACCCGCTTTGTCTTTTGGGAGGGGTATTTATACCTTAGAAGATCATGATTGCTGTCAGTGTGGTCAGTAGGTGATCATCAGGCACAGGTAGCGTGTGTAATCATTTGATGAGGAATGTCTTCTCTAATTGACTGCTCGGGGTCCCGAGCAATCAATGGTGAGTTGTCGGGACGCCGACGGTACAATATGCTCCTTTCGGGAAGGATGCAATAAATGCTCTGTAATAGGAGCATTTATTGCCTTTCATATCCGAACCTTACCGCATTAAATGCGGTCTCGTCAACAGAAGGGTGCAATTAATTGTTTGCTTCCCAAAGCGCATGTCAGCAATAGCGTGCGGTTTGCCTGTTTTTGATGTGATATCATATGCCACGCGTCCGTCACGTATTGGCTATGACTTCTGTATTCCAGCATGTTCTGACATTACTTGTGTAAGACGAGGTCATGATGAATAGTCTAGACTGGCATAGGCTGATGTCCCGTACGTCAGTAACTTTATCCGGGAGTAGAGGAAGCGTCCAGGATGGAGTGACCCTCGGCGCCGAGGAAAGGCTCACCTCGGGGGACCAAGGGGTGGTGTGTTCCCGAGGTACATGGTGACCGAGGACACATGTCATTGTATAATGTACCGAATATGTGATCCTATATGAGAGGTACCTCGGGGGAGAGGACGCTTGCCGATGGTGCTTGAACCCGAGCAACATTGTTCTAGAAACCCCCGAGGACACGTGTCTTCATCATAGGCTTTTCAGAAGAGTCCCATCAACTGCCCCCCAGCCTTCGATCTTCTGACGCCGAGGACACGCGTTGTCAGGAGACGAAGGGTTTTCCAACTGCCATCCGTCCTTCATTATGGCCTCGAGCAGCTTTCCCCGTCTTGGGATGTCGTGCGCATTAAATGCGCCGTTTTGGTTCTCCCGCCCAATGATGACAGTTTCCCCCCTATATAAAGGGGGTTCTTCTCCGGTTTCCATTGTTTTGCCATTCCGATCTCTGACCCAGAATACGCCTTTTCTGATCTGCTTCGCCGGAGTTTCTGTTTCCTCAGCCATCTTCGACAGCATCTTCTCTTAAAATCACAGTCAGTAAACCCATTGTTGACTCCTGGTCCTTCCGGTGCGAGTCGTTTTCAAAGTTTTTCCTGAAAAACTCCGTTTCCGACGTCTTCTGGTGAGTTTCACAACCTTCTTCTTTATCGTCCTCCTGGCCTTCTTGTTTTTCGATTTGAACGGTGGTGTCATCCGGTCGGTACGTCTTGATTTAAACCCTCGGGGAACTTCCTCAGGTTTTCAAGAGAGAACATCTTTTCCTTCCCTTTCTTTTAGAGATGCCTCGTCGTCGCCCTGTTCCCGAGAATCCATCGGCTGGTCCCTCGGGGTCAGGGAAATACAAGGTGACAGGCGAGGCACAGATCGATAGGTTCAGGGCGAAGTATGGCATCCCCCCGAGCGTGGACGTAGTGGGTTTTAACCCTTTGTTGAACTCTCCTACCTTCGGGGCCACGGATGCCATGCCTTTTTATACCAAGGCCATCATAGAGGGTGGCATTAGGTTTCCTTTACCCCCCCTGCTTCTTCAGTTCCTGTCTCGCTTCCGTCTCTTCCCCGGGCAATGCTGCCTCAACGTCTTTCGGATAATTATGGGGGTCCTAGAGCTCAATAGGCGCCTCGGGGTGAATATTGGGCTCAACGATCTCCTTTTCTGTTACTCCCTCCTAAGAGTCATGCCCCACCAACATTTCTACCTCAAAGCCAGGGACCCCTCTATGTACCTTGTAACCCATCTTCCTGACTCGGACAAGGGGTACAAGGACGACATCTTGATCTTCAAGGGATGTTGGGAGAGGGGTGTCGGTCCCGAGTACAATGACCTATTTTGCCCTCGGGAATGGAGAACGACAAGTACGTCGGTTCCTTTGGGTCTTTTTATTTGTTTCTTGGGACTTCTCATGTTTATGACAATCTTTTTTGTTGTGCAGGTATTCCTTCTCGGGAAACAGCTCCACCCCCTCGGTCGCTGGTCAATTTTGCCGACTTAATAACGGTTTGGAGTTTCACGGGCGCCGACGGATTTGGCCGAGCTGCCCATAATTTGCTGCACTATACCCCGGGTATAAGAAGTTCTCACAGCTCCCTCAACCTTTCGAGCCTTCACAGTGGTCAGAGCTCTTTGATCAGGCGGCGAGGTTAGAGGTCGAGCAGAACTTGGAGGAAGACCCGGATCGGGCTTCAGAGGGAGAGGTAGAAGGAGTTGCTGAGGTCGGGGTCAGAGAGGACGTTGCTCCTTCGGACGCCGAGGTGGGGACTTCGGGAGGCGACCTGTGGCCGGATTTTCAAATTCTCCAAACTTTGGACGCCGAAGACGCTCTCGAGGAAGCGATGTCCAACACCCCACGCATCAATTTGGGGTTTCTTAGGCAGAGGCAATCCCTCGCAGCCGGGAGAGGCCGAGGGGCGACCGGCGGTACTCCGGCAGGAACCAGTTCCGCCAATTCTTCGAGGGCTCCCGGTCAGGGTCAGGTGCGAGACCGGGATCCTCAGGTGGAAGAAGAGAGGAGGGTGAAGCATCGGCATGACGGCCTCAGCCGAGGACCCAGGGCATCTCCCGCTCAACCTCAAAGCGGGAGGGATCGTGGGTTACCGCCTGCTCCCCCACAACAGCAACAACAGCAGCCCCGACAACAGCTACAGCTGCAGCAGCAACAACAGCAACAGCAACAGCAGACCCCTCCTCCCGTTCCGCCTCGGGGGGAGGCCGCAGAGTGGAATCCTCGAGCCACTGATCACATGAACAGAGTGATCAGGGTCGATGATTCTATTCTGTCGGATCCTCATGTCGCCAATGCAGTGAGTGAGACACTGCATTTCGAGGCCGACATGGAGGCTCATAGGGGGCGATCAACCAACGTGTTGTTCCGCTCCATGATCCAGAATTCCCTGGTGGTGAGTTTATTCCTGTTTTGATCTCTTCACTCTCGTTTTCTATTTTTGTGTTTTTAACACTCTTTTCCTTCCTTTACAGGCTACCCAGCAGATTTCTATCATTGCTGGCCGGTACTACGCGTCCAGGATGGATCTTCAGAGGGCCAAGGATCAGAAGGCAGAAGCGGAAGCTGCCCTTGCTCGGGCAACGGAAGATGTTGCTGCCAGGGATTCCACCCTGGTGGGGCAGGCTGCCCAGATAGAGCAACTCCTCAAGGACGCTGAATCGGCCAAGTCGGGCGCTGAGAAGCTAAGTGCCGCACTTGCCGATGCTGAGAGGAGGATTACTGAGCAAACGCAGCGGCTCTCTGCGGCGGAGGAGAGGGCAGTGGGCTCCGAGGAAAGCTGCCTGGCCCTTACCCAGGAGCTAGATAGGATCAGAGCCGAGGAGCTGACCCGGAAGTCGGAGCAACAACTTCTGGAGGAGTTTGCCGATGACGTGCTCCCCGCCCTTGAAGAAAACAGCAAAGAGTTCTTCAAGAAAGGGTGGGACGAGGCGCTCCAGGCTGCTGGAGTCCCGTCAGACTCCCCTCTCTTCCAAGTGCACAAGTATGTGCCCTCGGCAGAGATGGAGCAGGCAGAAGCACAGGTTGCTGCCGAGGATGAAGCCCCTACACCGATGCAAACCTCGGCTGATGCTCCCGAGACGGTGATAGTGGACTTGTCCGAGGACGCTCCGTCCGACCTTGCCCCTGAACCTCAAGCTGCTCAAACTGTTCCAGCTGTTCCTGCTGACGAAGTTCTTCTCCTGCCCGCTCCAGAAGCTTCCCAACCTTTTATTGCTGATTCGCCCTCGGCCGAAGTTCTGGAGGTGCCTGGGGCCCGATGAAGCTGCATTTCATTTCCCCTTTTTTGTACTCCTTTTGCTTTTCTTTTGTAGCTTTTGGGGACGCAAAGCCCCTATTTCTTTTGGAAATGAATAACTAGTCTTTTTATC